TAGTATTGCCAGTGTAAACAGTTTATCAGGCATTTTCTTGTGTTACAAGTGTGTCAAATATCTGACTAACAAATCTTAGTAGCAAACAAATTAGGAAGCTTCTAAACAGGAAAGTACAGGCATCTGGGATAGGGTAGGTCACCAGCATCCTTATAAGTGTGCAACTGCAATTCTCAACCTTTTCAAACTATGATTAGTCATCTAATTGTGCGTCCAAATTTAGTTGGTGCATTTTGCATGCATAATTAATTGATTTCCTGAAGATCTCTTCTAATTTTTAATTACGGCTGAAGCTAGCGTTAAATATGGAGTGAGCCAGTCTGCACACCAATTTCCTTTAGAAACTGGATGCAGACAGCTTGTGACAAGCGTGAGTATTCATGGAATACAGAAACTGGCTGCTGTCTAGGCTGGGATATGTGAACTTGACCACAGGTTCAGGTTAATTCACTTACTGTCTGACTGAAGTGAAGTCATTCAGTCTTAATTGGTTGCAGAGGCATTGCTCAAATATTGGCATAGGAGGAAAACTTTTTACATTTAAAGAAACTCTCCTGAAGCTCTTGCTGTTTACACCTGCAATTATATGAGAATGTAAAACCATAATACAGAGTGACAGAAACTCTTATCAGATCTGATTTTCAGTGCTGAAATCAGAAGCAGGATGACAGTATCTGTGCCTTGTTCTGGTGTATATTTCCATACCTTATTAATCAGATGAAAATCTCTGCACGCAACAATTATCTGAGCAGCAATACCACTGAGACAAACAGACTTAATGATTTGACCTACCTCTTTCCTCTAATCCATGCTGCTTTGTGAATATAAGGAATTTTTCCTTTAGGTGTACATTCCAAAGGTCTACACTTCAGTCAACATACGCTGAAAATAGTGGCAGCACTATACTGATGCTGTTTGTGGAAGAGCTTTGCATTTTGCTAACAAAAAGATCACAAATTTTCTGAGTATGTCCCTATTAGCAACACTCTATATCATTCCCCTTTCTCTGTGATCTCACAACTGGCTTTAAAAGTAGCTTTGCCACTGTGTTCCAGTTTTTATCTCAGTGTCTGCTCTGCTTCTGTAGAGCAAATCTTAAAACAAACATGGAGGTCCTAACTTCATTTTCCATTTGTTCTTTCTTGCCATGTTAAGTTAAAGTCTTAGTTTGCAAATTAAGTTGAATACACTCCAATAGCCTTTTCCAAAGCAAAAGACAGATAACAGGAAATAATACTTTTCACTTACATGGTTTCTTCTTCCTTAAAATCCCAAAACATTTCACAAAGTTTGACTGCATTAAGCTTTCTGCATTGTAGGAGGTAAATATTGAAATCTCAAAGAAGTAAAATACGGAGAAGGAATAACTGATCCTATCATCTGCAGGAGAGCTGTAGGTAAGGTTTAATTCATATAGTTAACAAATTATTTACATATGTTGTGTATTCCCAAGACTGACATATCTGTACTGGGATGCATTTAAACCAGACTTTTCTGTTATGCATTTTCTCACTATAATAAAGCATGCCTTTTATCAACATTGGTGGGTGTTATCAGTAGGGTAATAAAGGGGCTAGACAAATTTGCGTCCAACAGATCAATAAATGGACATTTAAAGGATCAGTCTGGGGTGTCCTGTCTAGCTTTTCTAATACAAAAAGTACAGGTGTTGGGTGAGTGCAAAAGGAATGAAACACAAAAAGTGACCAAGCTCATGTGTCTAAATAGGGTTTCCTATTGCTACTGCCAGACACAATATTTGGCCACAGGGATTACTGGGCTGACCCAGAAAGACATTTCCTCTGCTTTTATGGATAGTTGCTTTCTGTTGATATGCCCAGCACCAGTCCTACTGTTCTAAGTCAAAAATCTGACTCAGATATTACAAAAAATATTAAAGCAATTTTCCTTCATTCTCCTCTCAATAATGCCACATAGGCTGGTCATGTAAATTTATCAAATATTCTAATTTAAATTTTGTTTTCAAAGAAACTGTGATAAGTGTTCAAAGAAAAATTCAGTAAAGGCTTACAGATTTTTTTTATTGTTTTTGTTTTGGTTTGTTTTTTTGTTGTTTGATTCTATGTTTGTTTTTTAAACTATAACTTTCTTCTGAAGCTCTTCAACTGAAAGAAAATTCTAAGCTTAAAACTGAAAACTGATTCTGTTTTTTAAATAAATGCTTCATCATGGCTCATAATTATTTTCTGCTTATATAGATGTAGCTAGTAAGTCTTTCCTTCCACTCGTCTCTTGTGCTGGTCTAAATTCTTTTCACTCTGCACCTCACCTTTTCTCTCTTCAAAGAAAATTATATTGTTTCACAGTTAATTATAGTCTTCAAATACTGAAGAGAAGCAAACCTTTAAAAGAAGTGGAGACCTCCTTTGAGGCATTTTTCACTTGTTCTTCAAACTGTAATGTCTCCTTTGTCCTCCCATGGAGTTTTGAAATGGCGGTAACAACTATTGATTATTAACATACTCGTCTATAACTCAACCCTTTCTCATGTGCACACTATTAGACCCTTTTTTGTTCTTTTTTTTTTATTATTTACTGTATTCAGCTACCATATTTATATATTGGTTTATAATTTAGCAGAGAACACATGCAGGGTGTTATGTGCTGTTGTAATTGATGAAATATATAGCATATAAAAAAAGCAGTATCTTGTACTGATACTCCTCAGTCTTCCAGTATGACCAAGGATATTTTCTATGTTATTAAGACCTGCAATGTCAATTCTGACTGACATAAAAGATTAGTAACATATTGAGAGGATATCTTAGTAGTAGTTCCATCAGTAGAGGCTCTGTTTATTCAAAGGCAATAGCTTATTTAATAAATGCCTGAAGTAATTAAAAAGTGTAAAAAGTCAGTTTCCTTGTGTCAAAAAAATAGTATGACATGATGTTGGTTGAACTTTCCAAGTATTGTAGTAGAACTAACTTGGGAAAAGTTCATTCCTAAAGTCAAACTTTGCCAGAAAGGGTTGAAAGGTTTTCCACGTGTAAAATAGATATATGTATACTAATTTCATCATTTAGATATTCAACTTTAACTGCGTAAGAATAGGGACTTTTCCAGGCATTTTATGTGACTGAGGTTTCTGTGCTACAGACAATAAAGTTTGTCATGCTGTCTTGTCTGACTTTCTCTCTTAAATTTCAGCCACATTCCAGTGCCATTTTTCACACAAAATACAGTTTTACACCCAGCAGGTTGTGGAATTAAAGCTGATGGGTCCATTTGGGCTTCTACTCAGTGCAATTATGAGATTTGGGAAGTAATTCTCTATGATGCCAAAGAAGGGATACTGCCTAAGAACCACCATTCTGGTGCATAACTATCTTTTCTACACTTTTCAAATACACAACCCTTGTTCTGAGTTTGCAGAGAATCCTTTTGGAATGAGATCATGTCTGACTGATGTTTCTGCTGCAATAAATATTATAGAATGTAAAAAACTATGGAAACATGATCTTTTTTAGAGGCTTTTAGAGACTTTAGCAACATTTTCAGTTATAATTTTTCTTTGTGATGTCTTATAATTTCTGCTTCTAGCATATAAATCCATTAGCATAGCATCATGGAAATGTTATTAAAGCGAAGTTTCAGAAAGTAATCACAAAATTTTCTTAACAGCTGCTGCTGGTTACACAACTCTGATTCTGCTAAATTACAAGAGGATTATGTGTCCTGCTAATAATGCATCCCAGACCAGTTCTTTCCACATAGATTGGACCAGGTTGTGACAGAGCAAGGCAAGAGGAGAGATTTATTTGGATACATGCCATGTTGTATAGGAATCTAGAACATATTTCAAAGATTTCTGAAGATTATGAACTCCTTCTTAAAGTTTCTGAAATCAGCTTACTCTTCTCCTACACATCCATGAACAGAGGTGTCATGTCTTTAAGAGAAAAGCCCGTACTGTAGAACTGGGATGGCACATTTTTGACCACCTGAAATTCCTTCCTAGATAAAAAATATAATTTCAGAATGAAAACCAAAAACCATTATGTGCAAAATTAGTATTCAAAAGAAAAGATACAGAAAAACTGAAAGAAAAATACTGCCCTTGCTATAGCTACTCTTTGTTCTGTTCTTTTTTTTTTTTGTCAGAAAAATGTAAAGTTAAGTGGTGAATGGCAAACACATATCCACTGTTCAGGTGGAAATAATTAGTCCACCTCCTGGACTTTCTCTCTTCTCAGCCAATAAGCATTAATTGTTTTATTGCCTGATTGATTTTATGCAGCCATTTCTTACTCTTGAATACCACCTAATCGAATTAAGTGACACAGACACAACACTGTAAGAACTGTTTCAGAATAGTTACATTATTTTACATTCAAAAACTAAAAAAAAATTTTGTGTGATTTTGAATTTGTGTGCATGTCCACACACACTCTTGCATATCTGTAATGTGCATATACAACTGCTTTAATTATAGGACAATGTGTCATAAAAAACCACTTTAAAATATTATTTTCATTTTAATTTCCTACCTTAATATTACTGAAATGTTAGATCTTTTCTTTATATAGAAAAGAGACAGAACAGTAAGAACAGGGGCCATGAGTGTCAATAATATTACTGACACATAGATACATCAACAAGTATATGTGTGTATGTTTATATACATGCATATTTGTTCAATTCAGTAATAGAGAGAACATCTTTACAGGGAGAATCTGCTTGTTTTTAACTTAGTGTGTTAAGGACCTCATTTTTGATCTGAGGGCTCCTCGTAATAATGTAGTAAAACTAGGTTCAGTTTTGTCCCAAATAGTGTTTTCCTTTACTTTTCACAATATTCTGTTCATTATTTTGAGGGCTGGGCAACATCGAGTTAGCCTGCGCTGAAAAAGAATGACTAAGAGAGAAGACTCTGCTCAAAGAGCTAGCTTTTAATGTAAATAGAGAAACAAAGAACTTGTTCTATTACCAAATAATGCAATGACTCACAAACTTAGTATCTATTTCAGAGGCATGACCTTAAAGAAGTCATTTGACTTCACAAAGACGTTTCCATGTACTTAAGCTGTTGCGTCAGAGTGGAAGATTCACACTGATACGAGGCTGCTGGCAACTTCAGGTTGATATTTCTGAATTAGGAATCAGAAAGACGTTACAGATTCTCTACTCCATTTGGCAAATTGAAAAGTCAGCATTTTATCTTCTGGTAAAGCTGTAAAAGAGAGAGAGAATGGAAACTGTCTTGTGTTTTCTTTTAATTTCTGCACATTCTGAATATTAACAATGTCCTGTATGCTCTCTGTAGTAGGGAAGTATTGCAGTAAATGAGAATCTTTCATCAGTGAAAAACATCAATATTTGTGAAACAACTTCTGAAAGCTCTTAAGTGTTATGATTAGAAATGCAAATATTTCAGAGGATTTTACTTTTAATATAGTGTAAATATTTTTACACACACACGACTGTCTACCTCTATATGAAGCTGGATGATCATACACAAACAGTGCGACATTTTAATGTTGTGAAGATATATAGGACAACTGATAACAAACAGGCCAAATAACTGGAATTGTATTTTATCTCAGTGTTTTAGTGACATGCACTGTGCTTTCATCTGGGATGCCAGAGTACTACACAGATCAAAATTCTCAATATCTACTCATCTAAAAAGGCAATTTATATTTCCTTCAAGACTAAGATTAGACAATGAAATATTTTTATTGGTTAAATCTGAACTCCAGGAGCATTTAGAGAAGGACTTTACTAAATTTCCCATGGGTATATTTTGGCAATGAAAGCCTGCGGTATCGGAAACGTATGTTGAATACTAGTAACAATCATGAATCTTTCTCTATAATTTCCTCAATTTTAAGGATGATGGCCAATTAGCAGACAACAATCCTCAAAATTAAAGAAAGGGAAAAAAAAGAAAAAAGTATGTTTCTACAGCAGAAGTCAGTGAAAGATGGTACTTTCTGACTTGATATTCAATTCGTGACAATCATTAGCCACAGAATGGAGCTACTGAATGGATCTGACTATGCTACTGTTTGTTTTCCTTTGTTAATACTTTATCTGAATTTTTGGAAACTTCTCAGAAAGGAAAAGAGTACAGCTAAAAATTAAAAGACTAAACTTCCTTTACATTAGCAATAATTATAGAATTATCTTAGACTGATTAGGTGAGCATCCCAGATAAAAGACCTATGGATCTGGGGACATATTTAGTTTCAGTATCACCAAATCCCTATCATGAATATTCATTTATTATTATTGCTTTTAATTTTTATAAAGTGAGTGATTCCCATAATAAAAGGTTTTTTTCAAAAGGTACAAAAGTATAAATAATTTATTATACCCAGAATGATTTATAGTGTGTTACAGATACTCATCCGTATATTCTCTCCTTTTTTTTTTTTTTCCCTGTAAAGAACTATTATATTTTTTGACAATCAAAACAAAAGAACAAGTGACAATATTTGAAGTGTTATAATTATTCATGACTTGGGAGGAAGAAAGGCCTCTTTCTCTCTGCACATTCGCAGGCCCTCCAAAGCATGCACCGTTAAATGATCAAACATTCCAGTCATACTTAGTGAACAATTTAATGCATGCTAAAGTCAATGGGAATCTTTCCACTACTCTTTGCATTAGCCTGTTAGATCATAGGGTTTTTAGGATAGGGATTGTCTTTTCATTAGGCATAGACCATGCAAAGAAAATATGATCTCAATCTTGATTACTTGGTATAGATACAGTTATCACAGAAAATAGTAGTGGATTTTCAATCCAATATGTCAATGTGTGGTGTGTGTGCAGAAAAAAAAAAAAAAATCCTTTAAATTATTTCCCTTTTTTCTTTCACTTTTCAGTGCTAGGTGAAATCCGAGCATCCTTACACAAACTTGCCTTTCGTACTGGCTTTATTAGTGCCAAGATTTTCCCTAATTAGTTTAACAGATAATCCTACATGATTTTATTTAAGGTATTTGATACTATAACAGTCTTTGCTAATTGGTCCCCATTGGCTACTTTCTAACAAATATTTGACTAAGACACAATAAAATAAATGTTAAATACTGAAAGGTAGATGAAATTAGATAAAAGTGTTTTATAATACTTCAGACTTGCAAATAATCCATAGGATTCCTATAGGCTGGAGTTTGTTTACTGGCCAGCACCAAATGTTTGCTATAAGGTATGTTGTTAGTTTTCTTTTTTCCATTCTCAGAAGTATAAGCTATCAAAAGAATAAGCCTTTTGCCTGGAAGCCTAAATATTTTCAGGTCAATTGATTCTAATCTATTGCTTACTGTGTGTTATTAGGTTAGTCATCTACTGAAAAATGTAACACAGATTCCAAATAAGATTATTTTTATAACACTGTTTACAAATCTGAGTTCTCAGCTGGGATTAGGGAGATTAGAAAGCACAAACCATTAAAAAAAAAAAATCATGAAGATGTGTTAGCTTGTGGCAAACCAGCAAATCTGTTATCATCTTTGGTTATCTTGTCTGTGTTTTGAACAGAAAAGTTGCCTATGGCTGAAATTACTCAGTAGAGACAAACAGTAGACACACATGGCACATCCATACCATGCACAATGTTCAACATATAAATTGGATTTTGGGTGCTAGCTGTATCCAGCTGGCCTCCAGCACAGCCGTAGGGCTTATGTCATCTGCACTGACAGACAGAAATGCCCAAGGAGCTGCTCTGCCAGAAAGAATCACTCAGTGCCCACTGCTCAAGGCACTTCCACCTCTGACATACCATCACAATGTCTGGAGTTGGCAAAAAGCCAATGTTTGCTCATATCAAGATACTCCTGCCTAAAGATATCATTCAATTCCTTTACATTGCCAGACTGACGCACGTTGTACTTGTGAGGTGCAAAGCCTGGATGCCAAATCATAAGAATGTAGTGCTCCCACAGCTAATCGAGTCAAGTCCAAAGGGATACATAAATGGGTGCTTTTTGCCTCATTCACTCACAGCCTAATGTGTAAAGGTAAACTGCTGTAAATTGTTGTTAAAATAAAATTTGCCACGTAAACCAGTGAACAGAAAAACAGTAAACTCTGAAAACTGAGGAGCACATATGCTACCCATTGTGTTGACCTTGCTATATATATGACAGCACCTTACAGAGTGGCAGGACAGAATGTAATAACTGCCTGAATAATCAGACCTTGTAAGCCAAAACACTGAGAAACCACCTTTAGAATAGATTGCTTGTATTAGTGAAACGCATCAGCTGCTATTTGAAAACTTGCTTCCTCCACACCCAACTTGCAAGTGAACACACATTCTTTTCAATTTTCTGTGACCTTATCAAGTCACACCTAACTTCATGTAGCCTCAGGGCTTCAACTTTATTTGTTTTGCCAATTTATTTGTTTATTACTCCTGTAGATACCTGGAAACCCAGCTACACTGACTTCACTCTGCAAGTTAAGTAGGAGTAAAAATGTAGCCTACTGAGACATAAGCCATGGCTTGCTTTGGAGTTGTCTCAATTTAGTTGACGCAATGCCCATTGCTAACATAGAGTGCCACTACAGTATTACTGTATTCACTCCCAAACTGCAAAGGCCAACCCATGTGGATACACAGCAGCAATGGTGTCAATGCTAGCTGTTATTTTATATTTCAGGGAATCTAAGCTTAAGAAATTATTTATATAAGTTATCGTCTTCAAAAATAGCCATCCAACAAAGCAAGAGTCAAAGTTTTTTAAAGTATTGAACCAGCAATTTTTCAAAATGTGTAGGAAAATTACATGCACACTCTGTTAACCTTTGCCAGAACACGGCATTTCTTTCCCAGCTCGCTAACTTACATGACTTAGTTGAAGCAAAGAGGTAAACTGCGGTTTTTTCCACCTTTGGTTTTGACAAGTGCACTTTTAGAGGTGGGTTACAAAGTGTTTTGTGAGTCATGTCAAATAGTGATAGAAATCCACCGCCTTCACCTTGCTGTCTTGAGTCCAGTGAGTGATCAAGGGGTGGTAAGAGACAGTAACTGCATTTGATCATAGCAGATTGTTTTCACTCACCCTGCCAGCTGCATGGAATGACTGACAACGATACGAGGAAATAATAAGTGCTAAAAGGGGCAGTGATATGTTGGGAGAAAGGAAAAGAGAGACCCATAAATCACTCTTTTGCTAAAAATAAATTTGTAAGTGATGGTTGTGATAGTTGCTTACCATTTTTTCAAAGGGGTTTTTCTGTGATCTTATATAACTCCCCTTCTGACTGCTACACCCACCTGTTGCCTCCCATATTAAATGCATGTAATAAGGGCTTCAGGGTAGACACTGCATTTTTTATGTGATTGTACTAAGCCTCATGGAATGAAACTGCAATAAATATAATTATTAATTCAAATAAGACATCAATTAATATTACAATTAAATTAATAATATGAGGTCAAGAAGGGCAAGTGACGCTCGGTTAAGACTGTCATTAGGGATTTTGTGCAGGTCACCTTTTCAGCAGGATAATACGATGCATCTTTTTTTACAGTCCTGTAGTGCACACCGTCTGTGTTGTTGTCTGACAAAGCATTAGATTTTTTTAGACTGCCTAGTTTTAGATGTATCCTTCCCGTTCCCTTTCCCAGGCTGTCACGTGTGTAGACATTCAAGAAAAAGAAACTACACAAACTTGAATTTTCATTACTTAACATGAATTTAACACAGGTTTAAGTTAAAGCAAGGAACAAAGCCGTAAATCTAATGCAACATATGGCTAAATAAGTGTCCTTAGTTCCATTTATTACATATAGTCATATTAGTTTTAAACATGTATACTGTGATGGTGTTCAAAGACCCTTATCAAAGTTAAGACCTGAGTGGAGACAGATAAGAAAATATCTTTCCCAGAGAGTTTATATTCTAAACGTCACACAAGAAGATGAAGGCTGAGAAGGATATGACCTATAAATAAATGAACATGATGATGACTGACACAGTTTTATTTAGTAAATATGTTTGTTGTTGCTGCTTTTCCCTAGATAACTCATCCTGAGGAATTATCTTACAAACTTGCTGAAAATAATTAGCAGAAAAAATATCTGTGGCAGATGAGGCTTTGAAAGCTTTTGATAGATCCTG